CCTTAGCGTTTCTGCTGACTTAACTGTATTTCTTCGATTAAATTTGTCTAAAAGCTATTTTAATTTGGCTTATATTGGCCGGGAACCTATGACTACTACCACCGTTAGTAATAAATGCATGACCCTTGATACATTAAAAAAATTAAAGAATATATATACCCGCATAATTACTTGTAGTTTCCTGAATCTTATTCTTATATACTCATTAACTCTTTCACTCCAAAAGGAAATCACTTTAGTTCCGACAAATTCATTCATTTTCTCTTGGTACTACTCTTGCGCTACTCTCTTGGCTCTACTCCAATTTTTGATGGCACTTTTTTCTCCATGAATGTATCATATTCCTCATTTATAAAATAAGAACTGTGTTCACGTTATTTCGCTTAAGGCTAGGCGGTCATAATACAACTGTCAAAAAATCGACCTCATATATTCCGCTTCCATTCTATATCATTAGAAGCTAAGGCTAGAATACTTCTTTATTGCTGACTTACTGTCTTTTCGAAGTCATGCGCACCTTTATCAGGATCTAGTTTTGTTATCTATCGCTTTTACTGAGTTTTGCTTTCGGGCTCCACTCTTTATCACTATTTAGAGCTTGAATCTTCTGATATGATTATACTATTATATTTACGCATTTCATCTATTCTGATAACCGACACAAATACAAAGCCATGTATGAGCCTATTGTTGTTGCAGCCTTATCGCCTATGAATAGCTAAGGGATCTAGTTAACTAAAAATCTAAAACGCTTACGTGTAAGGTAGCATAAGATACATAAGTTTGATCCAGGTCTGGATAATAATTCTTAACTCTGATATTTATGTCTTTTTCTTCATTTTTGGGTTGCCTTCATTTTATTTAGAATCTTGTGTGACCCCCGTGTCCACCCAATTCCAGCACAGGGTCCGCGGTCGACTACCTGACCCTACTGAGACGAACTCACGTGTTCAAAAAGCCTTCATCTCAAGCCGAAGCAATGTAGCACCTGAAGTTGATTCATCTCTTTCTTCCGATTTTGACGATAGTTTATCTGTAAGCTGTTTACAAAATTAGTCTCATCCCAAACCTATATTATGTTCCATAAAAACTACTGTTATCGAATTAATATTGCATATCTTACTAGTTGGAAGATAGGGATCAAGTTTTGTGTTCTTTATATCT